GACGCTATGGATCGCTGGACGGCGGCCGCGTGCGTCTGTTTACATCGACTGTTGGCCTGACTACCCCCGACGCTGTCGTATGACTGTCGCTGCTAGACGCCCTCGCTGTCCTGATAGTCGTTCATAACACCTTCATAACACAGGCTGACAAAACAGACATCTGTTGTTGTAACAATCCTTCCCCCGGCCGTTCGTGATATGGAAATGGGACTGGCTCAGTGAGGGTTAACCCTCGAGAGTATGTATCGGGGTTACATGAGCACAGTAAATATGTATTAAGCCGCTAATTCGAATTAGGAACGCATTACCGACTCATGTAGCCACCTGCTAGTGCGAATCGGCGATCCGATCCGCGGTTACATGAGCAAAACAAATACGTATCACGATCGGAATCACCGCTAATGCGAATCAGGAGCGTACTACCGACTCATGTATCCACCTGCTAATACGAATCGGCGGTCCGAACAAAATCCGCTGGGAAAGGAGGCTTAGAAGCGAATAGGACCAAGATACGTATTACAGGAACTATTTCTTCCCAAAAAGAAACATTAAAATGCAAAATAATAGGTATTCTTTCATTTTCTTCTTTTGAAATAATAATTAAAAAAATATGTCGGTATTTTGTCAAGTTTTAAAAGATAAATATAGTGAAAACCAAAAAGTAAATATCCAAGTAATTTCAGTTGAAACATTTTTCTGACAGCACTACAGACGAATCAAGAGAGGCAAGTGCCCAATGAGTCAAAGCAAGACAACTTTAGGTTCAACTTTTTTTTGTCAAGTTAATTGAGAATGTTCTGAGCAGATTAACCCGCGCCCGGCTGGGGGTCCTGGATTTCCACGCCCTGCTGGGGGGGGGGGGTTTGAACACCCCCCTTGTAACTCGGCTCCTGGGCCACGTAGCGATACGCGGAAGGCGGCGTTCGAAAGAACGTCAAAAATAATGACGAAATCACTTCGGTCAATTTTTTGGTCAGGTCAAAGGTCAGGTCACCAGAGGTCATTGAAGGCAAAATTTCGCCGATTTCCAGGTCGAATGTCGAAAACTTTCAAGAAGCCAACGCATAACTCGGGAACCAATAGAGCTACAGCGCCGCGGAAAGCGCATTCGATAGCCCTATTAACGCCCTTTCTGAATAATTCTCTCAGATTTGACCTAACGTCAACGGTTTTGCCTGCAGGGGGCAAAAACTGCAAAAAAAACGATTTTTTTCGGAAACAGTTTTTCTGCAATAACTTTTGACCCAAGCCTTGTACGAGCCTACATTTACCGGCATCGTGTTCCTCTCGTCAAGACGCATCGAATGAACTATAACTTGACCTTGAAAGGTCAACTTGAAAATTTGACCTCAGGTCAAGGTCATGACCTGACCGGAAAGGGTCATGTTGCATATCAGTCGATCCGTATCGTCGATTTGAACACATCTAAGGCGTTTTCATCGCTCTAGCATGCCTCTATCAAAAGTTATTTGCGATGAACTGTTAGATACCATTCGTGACCTAAGATGACCTCAAGGTATAAACAAGGGTCACGGACACCATTTTCATGTTCTGTGTGTCTAAACCACTTGTTATTCGGTGTTTGGGAGAGTTTATAATGTCTTTCGTCCAAAAGAGGCGCATTTCAATTTTCTCCCATTGACTTATAATGGGGAGGTCGCAAAATTGACCTGACCTTAGGTCATCGATATCAAAATTCTGAGATATACATTTTGTACATGCTATTGCTCTAAGCAATCGCTGAAAGTTTTCAAGCGATCGGTCACTCGGTGTAGCTATGACAGACATTGAAACTTTTTATGAAGTGAGGTCACTTCAAGTGACCTGGTGACCTGACCTTGAATGACCTTGGTCTGAAATTTTCACAACATGTGTAGAATTGATGTATGATGAGGTGTACCAAAAACGGCGGCGCTCCGCGCCGCCGTTTTGAGATATTCGCGAAAACCCACAAGGGGGGGAGGTGTTCAAACACCCCCCAGCAGGGCGCGGGTTAAATGCAAAAAAAGACATAAGATAATAAATTTTCAATTCAGTCACCTCTATTGCTACGGAACTGCGCCACATTTGTATGCTATTCCGTTTGTAGTGCGCATTACCTTCCGTCAGGCCAAGAGCCAAACTAGATCCGTTTGACGTCACTGATACGAATTTGCTCATATAGTCGGTGCACTGAATGCGTTCTTGGGAGCTGATGCGAATTAGCGTAGTACTTTTTTTGGAACGGATCGCTCATGTAACCGAGGCACACGATTCGGACCGTATTTCACAAGAACTATTCTTTGCTGAATGGAAGCGTCAAAATGCAAAATACTAAGCATTTTTTTATTGGCTGCCTCGTAGAAAATGGCAAAAAATATTGGTATTTTGGTTTAGTCTTTGAAGGTGAATTTGATAAAGATCAAAAATAAAATGAATGAAATATTTTGATAGATAATTTTTTTCTGACCACCCTGCTGTCGCTGCATGGCAAATCAGTGCCCAGTGACTTAAAACAAGAAAACTTTGTTTTCATTTTTTGATTTCATGTTAATTTTAAATGTTTTTTGAGCCTATCAAATGATATGAATATTTAAAATTTAGTTCAGTCGTCCCGGTAAATGCCGCAACTGCGCCATGACTGTACGCTAATCCTATTCCGTTTGTGATGCGAATAACCGGCCGTCGAGGAGTGAGCCAAACAAGATCCGTTTGACGTAGATAAAACGAATTAGTCTCATGTAACCGGTGCCGTAGATACGTTTTTGGGAGCTGATGCGCATTACCGTAGTACGTATTTGGAACGGATCGCTCATGTAACCCCGGTAATTAATTTTTTCTTTTTTTGCCAGTCAGCGTTCGTCTGCCACATTGCATTGTCTGTTTTCCCATTTATGTAGGTGTTTCCCATTATTATAAGTGTCCCATTTATTGCTGTGTGTGTTGCAAACACAACACACACAGCAATAAATGGGTACATTACTGCCTTGACAACACATCACACGTCATAATTTTGCCTGGCCTCGCACCGTTTCACGAATCATGAATACGATCGGCTCGCTGGAGCCTGGAGCGATGCCCTAGGTCATCGGCCGTGCTCGCGACTCATTATACAACTTTGTTGCTTTCTGCATTCGACAACTTTCACACACAATCATTTATTGACTGCGTAATGCATCGATATGTTCGGGTCGCGCAGAGGTAATAGAGGTGTATATGTAGATAGGATGATAGGAGAGGTTATGAGTCATGGGTAACTGGCTAATGGCCGGCCCCTATGATAGGCTTACCTCGATCCCTGATGGGCACACACGGCCTCTGACCAGTTACGCCGAATCCTGATGGGCCTACATGGGCCTTCGGTGGTCATTTGCCGCCCACTGGTTACAATGAAGGAGCTTGGCATGCGGCAGAGCCCCATTCTTTTACCGCTAGGTGACAATATTTGAAGTCAGCCCTCCTTCTCCCCTATAAGCTCGTGGCACTTTAAATTTGCCCGGGGTTTTCTTAGCACGGAACTGAACCGGATGGACAAGGGACATGTTGGTTAGATCGATCTGTCAAAGCTCATGTCATTAGCCCACTATCCTAACCACTACAATAAGCTGGCTTTCAGTGTGTTGGCTTGTTTTCCCAATTTTTTTTTTCTATTTATATTATATTTATTTATCTTTTACTTTTGACTGTTAACCTGCGCATGACTGAGGTATTTTCCATAACGCGAGTGAATAGGGGGGGGGGGCTCTACAGAGCCCCCTCCTATCTCTGAAACTACTGGGCAGATCGTCAAAATTCAAACGGCGTCTGATAGCCCTGGAAAACTTGTCCAGCGACACTTAATTTCATTGACTTCGAGGTCACCGATGACATCACAGGTTGGGTCAAAGTAAAAAATTATCAGCATTTTGGCTTGTTCACAATTTAGGCTCTGGCCGCCGGCAAACAAGTCCGATCACGCTCATTTTTGGTTTACGCACGCCTTTATATATGCCTTAGATACCACGAGGGTAGCAAACTTGTACATTGAATTTTTCAGGTCAAGACCAGGTCATCCTAGGTCATTGAAATTTTATATCATATAGCGATTGCCGTAGATCAATGTTTTGCATCAAAATCGGCTGACATGACGTCACTCTGCCGTCATTTCCGGCTCACCTAGCGTAGCTACGATGTTGTAATTTTGACACATGGTGTCTAATTGATGCAACTAAAGTTACTGCAAATTTCGTGTTGATGCGTTAGGTTATTTAGAAGATATTACAGAAAGACGGGAGGGGGCTCTGTAGAGCCCCCCTCAGTCATGCGCGGGTTAACCAAAAATCCCACGAGCCGTTGGGGGTGGCATAAAGTTGCACCCCCCTTTACGTTTTGTAGAATATCTCTAAAACCTGATGAGCTACGAGGGTGAAACTTGGCATAGCTTCAAATGAATACCGAGGCAATGTTTGAAGAAAGTTTGGTGGTTATAGCACTTAAGATGACGTCACAGTGACGTCATAAAATTTTGTCGTTTTCCGATATGGACCGTTTCTGATGTCGCTGAGGATGAAACTCAACTGTAAATGAACTAGAAAGCATCTGCTGTCATCCGAAAACATCTAAGCACACTTCCAACTAGTCACTGACCAATAATTGGTCCTTATATTCGGTCTCATATATCGGATATATCGTGAGGAGACTGAGAGTCGCAAATCTATAATTTGACTTCTGACGTCGCTGTGACGTCATTTCAAATAGGATTGACACCAAATTTGGACACAACCTTGGCTAGGTATTCAGGAAGATGTGTGTCAGGTTTGGCTTTTCTATCTCTTCGCGTTGCGACGATATGGTCGCAGATATAAAGGGGGGCAACTATATGTACCCAGCGGCCGGCGGGTGGCGTTGAGGCCCAGCGGCCGCCGGGTTAATATAGTCTCTTGACGCTGTTTGTCCGGGAATTGTCCGATGTCCTGTTTCTCGGATAAGCTGTGATTGTGGGCGCCGTTGGCTGACCCGGCGCGCCGCCCGGCCGCCAGCAGCGGTGACCGCGGACGTATCGCTGCGCGCCTGGCCGCGCTGGGCCGGCGACATCGCCGTCCAGTGGCGGCCGGCCGTGCTGCGCGGGGATGGCGGCGACCTGCCGGCCTCCGCCTACCGGCTGGTCGTGTCCGCCGACGGGCGCCAGCTGCGCTCCGACCTCGTGGACGGAGCACGCACCGCGGCCGTCTTCGAGTGGCGCTACACCGGCACCGTGGCAGCCGGCACCGAGTACCGCATCCACGTGGAGTGCTCCTTCCCGACCAGAAACTTCTCCTGTGGCGCTGTCACCGTGACGCCTAGTGAGTGTTGAATGTGACGCAACTGCGACTGCCAGACTACATTTTGCAATGTTTAGCGAGATAATTAAAAATGAATTGCATCAGCTAGTGGTGGCGCTCATGCATCTTTTTTTCAAGTTTTTTTTTTCCCGAGGAATAGGCTCGGATTTTAGCTGCATGTAACACACCTCAACCGAGGACTGATCCGGTTGTTTTTCAATTGCAAAACAATGCTACCGAATAGTGTTTGTCAATTTTTAACTGCCTGCGGTTACCGTGCATGACTATCTAGTGGTTGTGTCAAGATCGTGAGCGTTTCCGGTATGTGTCACATTACAAATGTCGGTACTTTGAACTGTCCTGCAGCTATCGGCCGAGTTGTGGCTGACGCAGCCGTCGTGCGCCGTTTCAGCGGCCCCGGATGCCGCCACACCCACTGACTCCGGCTGGCTGGTGCTGGACGTGCCCGAGCCAGCCGGCTCCTGGGCAGAGGCCAGCAGCACGTGCCAGAGGCGCGGCGGCCACCTGGTGGCGGTCACCTCCGCGGACAGACAGCAGCAGCTGACCGACCTGCTCGAGAGGCGGGGGCTGTCGCAGGCCTGGATCGGACTCAGCGTCTGCCCGCCTTGTCAGTAATTTCATTAGCTCTGACCCGTGACAAGCTCTGTCATGCGTTTATCAGCGCTGGCTGTCCCTTCTCCGCCTCCTATTAATGAAGTGGCTCCTGCCCATCGGTTGTCGGTAGTTGGCATCTCTTACCCTCTCAAGCTGACCCGTTGTCACCGGTGCCTGCTACACTGGGGTTGCCATCACCGATCTCTGAAAACGGTGTTTGACCTAGAGCCGTTGTGACCGGTCACTGGCAACATTAAAATGCTGTTATCAGTCAATGACATGAATACAAGGAGAGTGATAATGTTTTACAAACGAATTATACTGTTAAGGAAAACAAAAAATTTATTCGTAATGCGGCTTTCCTTGCTGATGTGTCCCGATAAATGCTAATGTTCCCTATCAATGATGGGGTTGATTTCTGCAGTCACGGGCGCTTGGTCAGACGGATCGCGCGCCCGGTTCGAAGACATGGGCACGCCACCGCCCGCGGCGGCCGGCGAGTGTTGCGTCAAGCTGTTCCGCACGGAAGACGTGACCAGCGGCACGGTGCACTACCAGTGGAGGATGGACATGTGCCAGTCTGTGCTCCCACCCATCTGCGCCTCCCGCGTCGAAGGAGGTGAGGCGACACTGCACCTTCAGCTATAAATTTACGTACTGACGCACTTCAGATGATGTCGGTGTTCGGATCGCGGCAGAGAGGGGTTAAAAAGACGATGAGATGCGTACGGAGTTGTAACCAATTCCTACCCAGTACCATTGAGCATCCAGGAGCCTGCTATAAATAGGGTTCGGTGCTGCCAAGTAACTGGGTAAAAACTGTGTATTTGAACGATTATAATGCAGCGTATACTGAGGGAAATTATGACCATTTCAGAGCTGCTGAACCCGGTGGAGAACCTGACGGCCAGGTCCGAGTACCCTCTCAGCCTGGACCTGTCGTGGCAGCCGCGCAGTTCCGGGTGGGCGCCCAGTTCCTGTCTGATTCAGGTACGAGTACATAACACCTCAGGGCGAAGGCGCCCAGCATATTGGACTAGACATTGGATAGCGCGTTGGTGCCAACGCGGACACCCCCACTAACCCGTTTTTCGCCTGTTGTCCAGGTGTGTCCCACTAGGGACCTGTCGCAGCGCGAAACGTCGCTGACGCTTCCCTGCACCAACTGGACCTCCTCAGACGGGCGCCAAGCTCACATTTCCGGACTTCCGGGATACCACGAGTTTCAAGTGACCGTCTGGAGCCAGCTGGCTTCGATACAGTCCACGGAAGCCGCCTATGTGACAGCTAGATCACGTGAGTTTGTCCCTTAACCCTCGCCCGCACATGGGGGGGGGGTGGTTGCCACCCCCCAGGTAGTCTTTCTGCTCTGCACTCAACATTTTTAAAGCTAGAAGGCTGATTTTTCGTATAGCTGCTCCTCTATCCTTTCTTAATGTCCACTGAAAATTTCAAGTTTCTGTGATTTTTGGTTTCGGAGATATTACCTTATTTTTCAGGTCATGTCATGACCCAAATGGCCAATTCTCAACATCCTGCGCTGGCTATGGGCCTTGTGAGCTTTTGACACCTTGATTTCGGCCTTTTTTGTCAGTCTTACCTCCCAACTATCATGGAACATGTTGTTCGACGATGTACAGATGTCAAGGTCAAGGTCAAGGTCAACCTATAATTGCGTTTTAGGTAAGCGGAAATTACTTTTTGTGAAGTTTTTTGACTGCATTTTTGGTAAAAGCTTCTCAGATCATGAGTTCATGTAATATGGACACAAAAACAATCGGTGCACACATCAGTATACACACAGACACACACAGACATACAAACACATATAATTGACCTTGACCTAACTTGACCTGACATGACCTCAGCAGCAAAAATCTGGTCGGGTAGTGTGACAAAGAGGTTCTAGCTGGCTTGGCACCAGAAAACAGCATCGTCATCGGTATATGGTAACTGGTAAGCAGCGCACTTGATATCCAACGGTGACCCAAAATAGCAACATTTTTTAGTTTGACCTGACTTGGAAGGTCAATGACTGACCTGAGAAGGTAAAATGGGTATCATTGGATTCGTTTCTTCCCAAAGAATCTTTTTGGTCTTTACCGCTAAGCTCTATCTCCAACAGGAACGAAATGGCGCGGGGGGTGGCAACCAACCCCCCCCCCCATGTGCGTTCTAGGATGGGAAAATGGCATGTGCGGGCGAGGGTTAAAGGAAGGGTGCCACCTTCCGAAATTTTTGTTCTATGAATCTATTTTACTTATTTGAATTTTTAGACGTGGTTAGCGCGTCCACAATATACAAAAAACCGAAACATTGCATTTAATACATTGGCCAAAAAAAGATCGTTGTTTATATCACCACTACAACTCAAGGTCGTTTGATGTGGCAGCTAGGACGGCTGGCATATCCTGTTGTCATGGCAACATATTTGGCAACATATCATTCTGCCATTTGCATTGATGGCGCAACTGAGACAAAAAGATGAACAAATAAAAAGGAAGAAGATAACATGATTTGAACTAAGTTGTAGGTAACCAAGTAGGTAACTGTTGGCCATATTTGCCAACAGTTAAAGAACATCAAATAAGTCGAGTAAAGGTTTTTCCTTTACAATGCTTAAGAGATCTATGGAACCCTTCATCCTTCATGCAACTTACTAGAAAAACTTCCCAATTAAAATTTTAAAACTTAAGTGTATACCATAAAGAAAAAATATACCCTTTCAAAATGATAAAACATGCTTCAAAAGTATAACTTTTATACATACCTTTGCTGATTTCATGTTTTATAAAATACCCTTAACACGACGAGGAAATAGTGCTGAAAATTTTTGCCTGCCCGAATGCTGGCAGCAAAACTCGCAAATGATAACTTCACGTGCGGATTCAATGCTGACCGTCTCGAGCATAGGTAAGTGAAGCCGGTTTTTAGGTTCATGTGAGGCTAATCTTGTAAAAACTGCGTTGTGTCCAAAAGGTGGCACCCTTCCTTTAAGTCCCTCCCAAATCTATCAGGCGCCCTCTGGGAAAGACCCATCCTGGATGGCACCTTCCATGATCATTTCTGGGCGCCGAAGGCGCCTTTCCAGTGTCCAGCACTCAGGCGTCCTCGACGGTAAGCCTCGGCATTGATGGCATCCTCCTCAACCGATCTGTCATTTAGATCGGATCTGTGACGTAATGAAGGATTTACTTCACGTCAATGTGGGGGAAATTTGGCAGCAAATATAGGTATTTGCTCTCAAATATGACGCGGCTCATACAATAACAAGTGTCTCTGATTAGCTTATTCGTAAATCAAGTGAAACTTCACATGCGTGGCAGGCGTTCAAAATGCAAATGACGTCATCAAATGGCCGTTGATAGTTAACCCGCGCCCGGCTGGGGGTCCTGGAATTCCACGCCCTGCTGGGGGGGGTTTGAACACACCCCCCCCCCCTTCTAACTCGGCTCCTGGGCCACGTAGCGATACGCAGAAGGCGGCATTCGAAAGAGCGTCAAAAATAATGACGAAATCACTTTGGTCAATTTTTTGGTCAGGTCAAAGGTCAGGTCACAAGAGGTCATTGAAGCCAAAATTTCGCCGATTTCCAGGTCGAATGTCGACAATTTCCAAGAAGCCAACGCATAACTCGGGAACCAATAGAGCTACAGCGCCGCGGAAAAGCGCATTCGATAGCCCTATTAACGCCCTTTCTGAATAATTCTCTCAGATTTGACCTAACGTCAACGGTTTTGCCTGCAGGGGGCAAAAACTGCAAAAATAGCCGATTTTTTCGGAAACAGTTTTTCTGCAATAACTTTTGACCCAAGCCTTGTACGAGCTTACTTTTACCGGCATCGTGTTCCTCTCGTCAAGACGCATCGAATGAACTATAACTTGACCTTAAAAGGTCAATTTGAAAATTTGACCTCAGGTCAAGGTCATGACCTGACCGGAAAGGGTCATGTTGCATATCAGTCGATCCGTATCGTCGAGCTGAACACACATAAGGCGTTTTCATCGTTCTAGCATGCCTCTATCAAAAGTTATTTGCGAAAAACTGCTAGATACCATTCTTAATCGTTTGGATGGTTGGCATGAGTGAAGACATTATAGTCAAAATTGATGTGAAAATGATCAATAACATGCCAAAAATTGTATTGGTTCTTTAGTTTACCAAAGAGAAACAAAAGAGACAAGCTTTCGACAACACTGTCATCATCAGGTCTGAGTTTTTGAAATTCCTTTACTTTGTTGTGAAGTGTGTAAAGGAATTAAAGGAAATTAAAGGAAACTCAGACCTGATGATGACAGTGTTGTCGAAAGCTTGTCTATTTTGTTTCTCTTTGGTAAACTAAAGAACCCAATACAATTTTTGGCATGTTATTGATCCTTTTCACATCAATTTTGACTAGATACCATTCGTGACCTAAGATGACCTCAGGGCATAAACAGGGGTCACGGACACCATTTTCATGTTCAGTGTGTCTAAACCACTTGTACCTAATTCAGTGTTTGGGAGTGTTTATGATGTCTTTCGTCCGAAAGAGGCGCATTTCAATTTTCTCCCATTGGCTTATAATGGGGAGGTCGCAAAATTGACCTGACCTTAGGTCATCGATATCAAAATTCTGAAATATACATTTTGTGCATGCTATTGCTCTTAGCAATCGCTGAAAGTTTCAAACCGATCGGTCACTCGGTGTAGCTATGACAGACATTGAAACGTTTTATGAGGTGAGGTCACTTCAAGTGACCTGGTGACCTGACCTTGAATGACCTTGGTCTGAAATTTTCACAACTTGTGTAGAATTGATGTATAATAAGGTGTACCGCCGCCGTTTTTGAGATATTCGCGAAAAAACACAACGGGGGGTGTTCAAACACCCCCCCCCCCCCAGCAGGGCGCGGGTTAAGAGATGGGGCCTTAGCTAAGGCCCACCTTTTAAATGAAGGGAACGAATTTCTTTAACACCACGAAACTGAGGATATTGCGACCAGGATATATAGTGGTTTCTGAACCTGGCCGCCAGCTTGGCTATCTCAACTCAGAACTAATGCAAAGGTGGGACAGTCCCTTTAACGTGAAATTCATCATACACACTCAGAAACGTACGTTCTTTCGTATAGTCAAAGAAAAAGTAAAATCGGCCGGTAACTTTTTGTCTTATCGGCGTTTAAACGCAAAAATGTCGCTCATATTGCAGATTTTGCCATATTTGACCTCATTTGACCTTGAAGATTTTGACCTAGGGTCATGAAATTCAGACACAACAGAGTACCCCAGTGCCCCCACCTACCCTCCAAATTTCGTCTCTCTTGCTTCAGTGGGAGCTGAGATCTTAGGGGGACGACATTCGCCCCTAAGATCTCTGGGCGTAGTACTAGCAACCCTTCCACTGCGCGTGTTAATGTAGGCTTATGGTTCTGCGGCGTGTGCAAACAATGTGCGGAAAAGTATAAAATGTCTAACGGGATTTCAGATATTTCGAAATTGTCCGTGCATGTGTCGGCCCTCTAGTGTGCTCAGGGGGCTGGTGGTGACGGTGGCCGGGCCCGTTTCAGTGTCGCTGCTGCCGCTGAGTGTGGCCATCTCCCGCTCCGGCCTGCTGACGGCCGTCTGGCAGCGGAAGGTCGTGGCCGGCGCCGGGGACCAGGCCGTCGACGTGGTCCTCCGGCGAATGGATGTGGCTGAGCCGCCGTCGCCCAGTGTGCAGGCCCTCTCGCAGGCTCTGGGTAGGTCGTTACGGTCCATACTCCATAGAAAAGCGGACATTGGGGATCAGACTTTTATTATTAATAAAATCTAAATAATTTTCTTCACTAAACGGTTGTTTCTATATGCAGCGAGCATTTAGAAAGAACGTCACACTTAGTTACCAACAAACGATATCATAACAGCTGGATTTTTGCCAGTATACTGGCTGCGGCCCAGTCGGCGACGGTAGCGCCCACTCTCGGCCACTCAATGCAACTATGTAGGTCTCGCGGAGGCCGAGCTTGGGATTAAAACGGCTCTATGGGAAAACTTAACTATTAACTAAAAAGTCTGTATACTACAATAGCTTTCAATAATGTTCGTTCACTCTGACGTACTTTTCACCCATGTTCATGAAAAATTGACACCGGAATTTGGGAGTAGAAGATAACAATGTTCATCAGCATCACTGTTTTAACAAAAACACGTTAGTCCGATGACAATCTACTATGTATGTAGGTACTTATTTCTGGTATCAGTCGCTTCAGAATTTTTCGGAGCATTGCAATCAACTGGGGCATCCTAAACATCATTACCAGTAAAGCGCCTTTTGGGGCGACTAACGGAGCGAGCGAGAGGGTGAGCCTTGCGGGTTCCGGACAAAATATCGAAAAGCAAAATATCGAATAGCAAAATATCGAAGACAAATTATCGAAGTGGCAGAATATCGAAAGCAAAATATCAAATGCGCAAAATATCGAAATCGCAAAATATCGAACCGCAAAATATCGACATCGCAAAATATCGACATCGCAAAATATCGAATTGCATAATATCGAATTGCAAAATATCGAACTCGCAAAATATCGAATAGTATAATATCGAAAGCAAAACATCGAAACGCAAAATATCGAAAGACAAAGTATTGAAAGACAAAATATCGAAAGACAAAACATCGAAAGACAAAATATCGGAAGACAAAATATCGAAAAGGCAAAATATCGAACGCAGAATATCGAAAAGACAAAATATCGAACGCAAGATATCGAACAGACAAAATATCGAAAAGGCAAAATATGGGACGCAGAATATCGAAAAGACAAAATATCGAACGCAGAACATCGAAAAGACAAAATATCGAACGCAAAATATCGAAAAGGCAGAATATCGAACGCAGAATATCGAAAAGGCAAAATATCGAACGCAAAATATCGAAATGACAAAATAACGAACGCAAAGCGTCGAAAAGGTAAAATATCGACTTGAAATGGCCCTCTGCGGACTCCTTAGAGCTCTGTCGAACTCTGTCGAAATTAGGTTTCGCTCGACAGATCTTCCGGGGCTATCAAACATAGGCGGATCCAACCCAGAGTTTTCGGAGGGTCTCGGAGGGTCTCAAATCAACGCAGGCAGGTGCCAGGGGACATGCTGGCCTCTAAGGGCTCCGCAGAGTTCAGATTCAGAGGGCACTCAGAACGACCTTTGTGGGCCCTACGAAGGTCTCCGAGAGCTCACGCAGACTCCTAGAATTCCACACTGATTCTCAGGCCAAATGTCGGCTTGTTGAATCACTTTATCCGCTCTTGGTTCCCCTTCCGTCGGCCTCTGAGAGTCCCAACGCCGGAACTTATGGGGCCATGGGCCCTACACCGGCTTTTAGGGCCCCTACATCGACTCTTGGGACTCATGACTCATCATATATGGGTCTAAGCGGCTTCTAAGAATCCCCATGCAGGTTCTAGTAGCCGCCAGTCGAATATTTGGGCTCACACGCTAGCTCCCACCTCGCTAGCGCACGGGGTCCCACCCCGTGCACGCTCCAGGGGCCTACCTGCCTCTAAGACCCCACACATACTTTTGGGGCCCAAACGCTTGCTCCTGAAGGCCCCACTGAGACTCCTAGTCCTTTCCTCTATTCAGTCCTCCATACTGGCTCTTTAGGCTAATCATCGGCTCCTGGTGGCCATCCAGGCTTTGGAGGGTCACCATACAGGCTTTTTTGGGTCCGATGCCAGTCTCTGAGAGCCATCAAAAGCCTTTCGAGCCTACGAGTATACTGCTTCCTGAAACTCTTCAGCAACTTCTGAGGGACCGACCCTGGTCGGATGGCTCATTCGGTCTGGGGAGTCATGTAGGTCTCTGGAGGAGCCTCTAAGGGGTCGGTTTCCAAGGGGTTTTTAAAGGGACTATCTCACCTTTAACATGGGGTTTGAGTTGAGATAGCCAAGTTTGCGGCGAGGTTCAGAAACCACTATCTATCTAGGTTGCAACCCCCGCGGCCTCTTGGTGTTGAAGAAATTCGTTCCCTTCATTTGAAAATGGGCCTTGTGCAAGGCCCTATCTTCAACATGGAGCGACCGTTAGTGTGACGTCACCTCGTTTAGTCATTCTGATTTAAATGGGTTTGTTCGTTGAAAAATCGCTTAAAACTTGGTCTGAACTTTGTTGTGGCGCCTACAGAGTAAAAAGAATCAGCTTTATGACAGTAATGTGGCCTGGGGAAGGAGGTAGTTTTGGGCTGTGACTTCACATATTTGAAAGTTTGTGTTTGGCATATGGGAAGCCTAAGATGTTTAATGAAAAATAAATGCAAGAACCATGTTCCTGGTCATCCAATCTATAAAGTCGGGCACAATTTAATTGGTTTTAACAGCATTTTAGAAGGTGGGATAGTCCCTTTAAACACGGTCTTCTAAGAACGGTCTCGTAGGGCCCTTAATGGTCCACTGCGGATCCAGAAAAGTGGGTTGAGATGCTGAGGGTGGTGGCGAGACTAAAACAAGATTAGATGATAAAAACTATCTGCATTTGCTTCGTTATGCTTTATTTGAGTTAGGTACACTGTAATTTCAAATATTTTGCAGAACTTGTGTGTTTGGGGATAGTTTTCCAAAATCTTCGTTTTTCATAAAGCAATGATAATCACTCTAACACATATCGGGGGGGCGAAACTTCCAGAGAGGCCCCTTGAGAAAACTTTGCACCCCCATCCGAAATTACCTTCCGCCGCCACTGCTGAGATCTAGGTACAAAACAATATCAGAGTTTTCCAAGTCTGTCATGGACCCGCTGATTGCTCTTTGAGGCCTACAGATAACGGAGGGCCCGATGAGTTCGACAGAGCTCTAAGGAGTCCGCAGAGGGCCATTTCAAGTCGATATTTTACCTTTTCGACACTTTGCGTTCGTTATTTTGTCTTTTCGATATTTTGCGTTCGATATTTTGCCTTTTCGATATTTTGCGTTCGATATTTTGCCTTTTCGATATTTTGCGTTCGATATTTTGTCTTTTCGATATTCTGCGTTCGATATTTTGCCTTTCGATATTTTGTCTTTCGATATTTTGTCTTTCAATATTTTGTCTTTCGATATTTTGTCTTTCGATGTTTTGTCTTTCAATATTTTGTCTTTCGATATTTTGTCTTTCGATGTTTTGCGTTTCGATATTTTGCGTTTCGATAGTTTGCGTTTCGATATTTTGCTTTCGATATTATGCTATTCGATATTTTGCGATTTCGATATTTTGCAATTCGATATTTTGCGATTCGATATTTTGCGAAATCGATATTTTGCGATTTCGATATTTTGCAATTCGATATTTTGCGATTTCGATATTTTGCAATTTCGATAATTTGCGACTTCGATATTTTGCTTTCGATAATTTGCGTTCGATATTTTGCGCTTCGATATTTTGCGTTTCGATATTTTGTCATGGAAGCGAGCCTTGCACGTCCGAAATTTCCAGGGGGTATCTCCAACTTACTTGTGCATGGCACCCGTCTCTAGCGATGTGCCGAATTTGAGCACAATCGGCCCAGCCGTTCTCGAGATCTGGAAGCGGCAACCTGCACGTGCGCACGTGCAGAATGGGACTTGTGCACGGCACTCTACTAACTGCTCCCTAACCGTGTACCAAATTTGGACGCCATCGGTCCAGCCGTTCTCGAGACCTGGAAACGACCCATGGGCCCTGCACGTGCGCACGTGCAGCATACCCCAACTCTGGCACATGGATATGCATTGCCTAGTGGGTGCCTACCTACATGGCGAACATTCGCGCGGGGGAGTGTAGAAATCCCGAGTCCGACGAGCTGCAACATTATGATAGAAAGAGTGTGGTACCAATCGATTCAGAATTGTTCAAAGAATAAAATTCCGTTGGGGCATCTTAATATTTGGCATTCGTTCTTGGTTAGATTACAGTAGCGGCGGAACACCTTCAATTAGGGGGGGGGCACTGCCGACTTTTGGTCCCATTGTTTCCATGCAACGCCCATAGGGCTAATGTTAAAATGCCAAAATCAAGGGGGCATGGTACCCCGGTGCGCCCCCCCCCCCGTTCCGCCGCCTATATTAGATTATATGAAATACACTCTGTTGTCTGCGGAGCCTTCGCCGTCAGTGTATAGACGGGGCCCGTTACTAGCGGAACTAACGGGCCACGGGGCCCGTTAGTTCCGACACCGGCCGCTATATGCTTGCGGGCTGGCGCTAGTGTTGCTATGTCCGCCGGTGGACACTGGACAGTAACGTACCGAACGGACACGGCAACGTTAGCGGCCGCCGAAGTAGCCGGGAAACGGGGACCGGCTATAACGTTGCTCGCTCGGACGGGAGCAAAAAATCCGTATCCTCTCCCCTCCGCAAGAGTTTCCATACATATAATGTAGCAATGGCGTCGTGCGAGGCCGACACAACCCGTGGGACGACGCCCGTACCCAGGTTAGAAACCATGATATATTTTGGCTCAGTGTTTCCTACATTTACCGGGGTTACATGAGCACAGTAAATACGTATTTAGCCGTTTATTCGAATTAGGAACGCATTACCGACTCATGTAGCCACCTGCTAGTACGAATCGGCGGTCCGAACAAAATCCGCTGAGAAAGGAGGTTTAGAAGCGAATAGGACCAAGATACGTATTACAGGAACTATTTCTTCCCAAAAAGAAACATTAAAATGCAAAATTATAGGTACTTCTTTCATTTTCTTCTTTTGAAATAATAATTAAAAAATTATGTCGGTATTTTGTCAAGTTTTCAAAAATAAATATAGAGAAAACCAAAAAGTAAATATCTAAGTACTTTCAGTTGAAAAAAAAATTCTGACAGCACTACAGACGAATCAAGAGAGGCAAGTGCCCAATGAGTCAAAGCAAGACAACTTTATGTTCAACTTTTTTTTTGTTAAGTTAATTGAGAATGATCTGAGCAGATTAAATGCAAAAAAGACATAAGATAATAAATTTTTAATTCAGTCACCTCTATTGCTACGGAAATGCGCCACATTTGTATGCTATTCCGTTTGTAGTGCGCATTACCTTCCGTCAGGCCGAGAGCCAAACTAGATCCGTTTGACGTCACTGATACGAATTTGCTCATGTAGTCGGTGCACTGAATGCGTTCTCGGGGAGCTGATGCGAATTAGCGTAGTACGTATTTGGAACGGATCGCTCATGTAACCGAGGCACACGATTCGGGCCGTATTTCACAAGAACTATTCTTTGCTGAATGGAAGCGTCAAAATGCAAAATACTAAGCATTTTTTTTTTGCTGCCTCGTAGAAAATAGCACAAAAAAAATGTTGGTATTTTGGTTTAGTCTTTGAAGGTGAATTTGATAAAGATCAAAAATAAAATGAATGAAATATTTTGATGGATAATTTTTTCTGACCACCCTGCTGTCGCTGCATGGTGAATCAGTGCCCAGTGATTTAAAACAAGGAAACTTTGTTTTCATTTTTTGATTTCATGTTAATTTTAAATGTTTTTGAGCCTATCAAATGATATGAATATTGAAAATTTCGTTCAGTCGTCCCGGTAAATGCCGCAACTGCGCCATGACTGTACGCCAATCCTATTCCGTTTGTGATGCGAATAACCGGCCGTCGAGGAGTGAGCCAAACAAGATCCGTTTGACGTAGATAAAACGAATTAGTCTCATGTAACCGGTGCCGTAGATACGTTTTTGGGAGCTGATGCGCATTACCGTAGTACGTATTTGGAACGGATCGTTCATGTAACCCCGGTAATTGTTGGGTATTCTGCGTTGTTGACCTAACTGTGGCGGCCAGCCGCCGCCCAGCGGGCTGCGGATCTGGAAGCTGACGGCGCGGCGAGCGCTGTCGGGGCGGCCACTGCCGAGTCGCTGAGTAGGCTGAGCACGGACCGAGCGCGGCGCCAGCCGTCCGACAACATCCGCTGGTCGGGCCTGGAGTTGGGCGCCCGCTACCTGCTGGCGCTGTTCGACGCCGACTCCAACGACACCACCGACTACGTGGCATTCAGCGCCGGTCAGTAGGCCACGGCGACGCACGACCCAACAATGCTCAGATCACCTCTATTAACCACGCCGTACACCTTAGCGACGTCTGGCCTCGGGGTACTGTTATTGGGCGTCTAAAGTCATAACGAGGACTACGAATAGTACCTGTGGTCATTCCTTACCTGTGGTGTGAGGGATCATTTATTCATCATGTCAATGTGTTTAGGCGCCACCGCTCCGGTGATTGCCATGGCTGACTGTAACGGACGCCCTGCATGCTGTACAGGGCCCACCTGTATGTCCGGCGAGTATCAGCTGGGCGCCCTCTGTTTCTGGCCGTCCCAGGAGGCGGCGACATACTCAGAGGCTCTGTCCACGTGCGACACCAGCGGCGACGCCCGACCGGCCAGCGCCAGCCTGAGGGCTCGCCCGTGGGTGGCCCCCATCGCCACCAGAGAGGTGAGCATATGAGCATGTAGGTATGTATGCATGTATGTCTTGCAACAACGTGTTTTGCGCAGGGATGCGGAGCTGGAGCCGAAGCCGCCGGAGCCGGCATATTTTGCCCGGAGCCGGAGGCGGAGCCGTGAAACAATACATATAGCCCGGAGCCGGAGCCGGAGCCGGAGCCGTCAAAAAACGGGGCGACTCCGGCTTCTTTTTTTCAGAGGGAAAAAATATTTACCTAGTTCGGTTTGACAGTACAAGGCGTAAAACAATGTGGCATTCAAAATAGCCTTGTTATACAGGGTGACACAAAAAAAGCGGTCATCACCAAAATTCGAATAACTTCGGAAGCTTTATTCAGATCATCACCAAACTTCGGCCACTTTAGGTCACACCTATGTAGCAGACATCCACCAAGTTTCAAGTCTTCACTACGAATACTTTTAGTACAGTGTGTGTTTTACGGACGCTCCACAATGTGCTCCGGGTGAGCGCCCCGGCGCTGCAGGGCGTAGGCACACCTGCATCCGGCGGGCAAAGTTGCCGATAACCCGATAAGAATAACGTTTCAGGGGTAGCACACCCCTGAGCAGTGTCTCCAGAGGCCATTGCACTCTGTAAAGTGCACAGCCATCGGGTTATCGACAACTTTGCCCGCCGGATGCAAGTGTGCCTACGCCCTGCAGCGCCGTGGCGCTCACCTGGAGCACATTGTGGAGCGTCAGTAAAACACACACTGTACTAAACGTATTCGTAGTGAAGACTTGAAACTTGGTGGATGTATGCTACATAGGTGTGACCTTAAGTGACGGAAGTTTGGTGCTGATCTGAATAAAACTTCCGAAGTTATTCGAAATTTGGTGATGACCGTTTTTTTTTTTTGTGTCACCCTGTATGCAAATACAGAAGCAACGTGTAACAATCCCATCGCCTTATTTCTTCCACCCGTATTTAATTAACTGATCGCATAGGGGACGTACTGAGTAGGAGCCGGAGCCGGAGCCGCCGGAGCCGAGCCATTGTACTCTGAGCCGGAGCCAGAGCCGGAGCCGCCATGACATTTCACCCGGAGCCGGAGCCGGAGCCGGAGCCGTCTAAAATTTCCACGGCTCCGCATCCCTGGTTTTGCGGTTGCAATTACGGAGGCACTATGCCATGCGAACTGCGCCCGTCATTCCGCTTTAGTTTGAATATTGTTTTTTGCAGGAGTACCAGCTGGTCAAAAACATCTCTCTCGTGCTGAACAAGAGCTTCTGGGTCGTCCAACGGGAGAAGCGACGTCGCCGCCGTGACTTGACCCGACGCTCAGAGCCCGGAGATGTTGAGCTGCTACCCGGCTTCAAGGAGCCGCCCCCTGAGCCGACCTCGGACCCACTGGCCGAGCTGCTTTCTGAGGATCTGGCGGTGAACACAGCCGAAGAGAACTTTACCGAAATGGACGCCGCTGCAGAGTCCGACGTGGAGTTTTCCGAGCCGACAGTCCTAAAGCCATGCACGTATGTGCAGCAGGACCGCAGCGGCATCCAGGCCTCCACGAGCAGCTGCGATCAAGAAATGCAGGCCATGTGCAGCACCAACATAACAGGCAAGTTGAGAGATCTATGTAGCTTATGCAGTATTTTATATCTGATACTTAACCTGCGAGTTGCTAGAGGGGGGCGTTAAGCGCCCCCACTTTTTTCGCCGCGCTATAGCATAAAAATGGCGCGCCGCAGGCACGCTTAACCCGCGCCCCGTACGGGGGGAGGGGGCGAGAAGTCCTTTTCCGTAGATATCTCCCAAACGGCAGCAGATATCGTCACCAAACTTTCAAGACTCCTCCGAGCATGAATTTTACATATTGTGACCAAAAAGGTTTCTAGAGGCCATAATAGGTTGGCCGCAAGTGACGTCAGAATTACGTCATGTTCTGCCATTTTCGACCCAAAAAAGGTTTCGCGGGAAGAGTTGTCAGCCCTACAGCATTAAAGATACAGGAAAATATTCTTGACATAAAAGGTGTGGAATAAACAGTACTACAACACTGCTATATCCGGTTTTTGAAATTTTTGGATTTTGACTCACTTAAATAAAAGTCATTTTTTAGATATAATAGCCAAAAAATCTAAAAAGTTTTTTTTCGAATTTCAAAAAGACGGTATACCTATATCATAGTCAATACCGTGTTCTGTTTACATACCGAAATTCAGATCGGTATCTCTTTTTTGGCCAAGTTATAGTGAAAAAGCTGTTCAAAACTGATGACGTCGAATTTTCAAACTCAATTTTTAGAAATTATAGACCACCTAGCACAAACAAAGACCACCATTAGACTCCCCGTGACAAGCTGCATCGAATTGATACCTACCCATGTTAGGTAAAAATATTAACTTCTGACCTTGACCTGACCTTCACCAGAACGTAACCTTAACTGGCCCCAAAGGTCGCCTAACCCACACAATCGCATTTTTCATGTAAAATGAACAATAAAACATGTACGGGGACCCGCAGTTGCTACTGTACAGCGACCCTGAGTAAATTGTCCCAGCACCCTCACAGGGAACAACGATAAGCTGTCAGGACTGGCAGTCGATATCAATGTTATCGGTTGTTACTGGGCAGGACAGACGGCTAGAGTTGGGGTTCGTGTACAGTAGCAACTGCGGGTCCCCGTACCACCACACGACACTTCATATTGTGACCCTCAGTGACCTGACCTCTGTGACCTGACCTGGTATCAGTGACCTCAAATAGCAAAAGATATGTTTGACTGACAATTCCTCATCGATGATTTGCAATGGTAGGGGAGACTAGGGAGGCATGGCCCTCTGGAGGTATGGGCCATCACAGTTTTGAAGAAGTGTTGCATATTTTTACACATTTGGCCGCGTAAACTGGTAGCAGCCATTCCGTTATACAACCCACGTGATTTCCATAATCTTCCTCGGTCTTCTTTGGCAATGAGCGATAAGAAAGTGTTTTTGCCCTCTTCGAGTAAATTACGGTAGATACAGAAAATTCGTGATAAATTTGAGCCAGGCTCGTTTAATTATGTCAGACCATCGCTAACATCAAGTTTAAAGCATGCAAATTAAGACTGGGTAGAAAATTTGAAGCTTTTTTGCAAGATTATGAGCTAAGATGCTACACATTCTGGCGTGCTATTCGGGACGTTCGGGCCACCGACCCCCGTTGATCCTAAATCAATGAAATGGTGCTTTTTTCATTAAATGTCCTCTTCAATAAGTTCAATTTTTGTCGCGCAAGGTCAAAAATGTAACTACAAAGTTCATTTGAACAGAAAAAAGTATTATTTATCTTATTTCGTAGAGCATGATTGAATTTACCAAAATACATATGTGCAGTAGTGACCTCCATGAAGTAAGCTGTTGGCCGCTTATGCAGTTCCTGAACTCTAAGAGATATCAAGGTAGATACCAGCTACGAGTATTGTTCTCATTGTCGAGAGAAGAATATGTAACATGGCACCGGCTCATACCTCCCGGACCGTGGCCCATACCTCCCGGTGTATTTTGATGGATCGAAAAAGTGCATGATTTATTGAAAGTTATCTCGAGACAAAATAGTTGGTCCCAGATGCCTAATATCAGGCACACTTTGCAGGCGAAATGCAATGTCACGTACACAGAGTGAAAAACCGGGTCTAGCCCCTGCCCACTGGAAGAAAATTGCCTTTTCACAAAACTGGCCCATACCTTCCGGGTCTCCCCTATTCCTTTTTACTCGATTTTACAACACATTTCTGGAAACGCCTGTAAACGGTGAAAACTCGACTTTTGACCTGACATGTAACGTCATCGGTTAGGCTGAGGTCAATGAAATTAGGTCACAAGGTAGTTCCCTGTATGGGCTATCCAACGCCGTTTGAATTTTGAAAATCGGCCGGTAACTTTCCGAGATCTTAGGGGGCTGAAACTGCCCCCCCTACGGTTGGTAGGGTCCGCCGATAGCCCTACGGGGTGCGGGCTAATTTTGGGTACCTGTAGGTAATTGATTGCAGTTGATTGTGACGAAATTTAAAAAAAAGATATTGAGGTTTTAGTGACGTCATAATTTCTGAGTTTTCGACCGAAAACGGCACTTTGTTCAAAAAAGCATCTAAAACCACAGGATACACATACAGATATGCTGTAAAAGCTGTAGGGGAGAGTGGGGTAAGATGCCCAGGGTGGGAAAGACGCCCCACCCCCTCTAGCGGCGAAACAAAGAATCAAACCTGGAAATTAATGTTCTTAGCGTAAAGCGGAAGCCTGCCTTGTTAACTGCACAAAAATTTGCGAAGCTCAGTTGGGCAACGGCTGGCTGGTGATTGCATGTTTTTTATTTGCTGCTTTCAAAAAATATTTTGGTGTCAAAACATTGTAAATATCAAAGAAGGTAGACAATTTTTGCGTCCCTTGCTATAGTCGTGATACATTAGCATGCGTGTACTGTGTCCCAGCCAGTTTGTTTCAGGGTGTAGTTTTAGGGCTAACAAATTGTACTGATAAAACGTTAATTCGGTGCCTTGGGGTAAGATGCCCCCTGCCCTGATGGGGAAAGACGCCCCCTAAATCCGTAGGCTGTCCTTCAAGCAGCCCGTCAAATAATTTATTACATACTTGTGATGAGAGACAAAAGCCGATCTGGGACTATTGAGAGTTCAGTACGGTCGAGTGCTCCCCATGCCGGTCTCTCGGCCCACACAGCGACTTTTTGGGCGGCATCTGACTCTGAGAACCCTCACGACGGCCTCTGTGGGTCCCATTATTGGCTCCAGGGCCCCTCACGACATCCTTTGAGGGCTCCCACGTTGGCTCCACGGGCCGCGCTGGCATCTGAGGTCCCCACGATGGGCTCGAGGGCCCTCAAGCATCATGAAGACCTATAAGGGCCCCACAGTGGTCTCCGAACGCCACCACGGAGGTTTGTGTGGCCGCGCTGGACTATGATAGCCCTAACGATGACCTCTGAAGCCCTTACGACTACTTTTGAGGGCCCTTACGATGACGTTTGGTGTCTACTGCAGGCTCGAAGGGACTACTGATTCGTTCAGGCGATTCACGTGCCCATTTATGTCACTTATAGTGCAGGGGGCATCTTCCCCAACCCCAGGGGGCGTCTTTCCCACCCTGTGGGGTAAGATGCCCCCTTTCACTTCTTCAGGAAAATGCTTAATAGCAAATAAGTTTTCATATTTCAGGCACGAAAGTGTGATATTTTTTAAGAAAAATGATGTCGGCTTCCGTTGAAACTCCAAGTTTTTTATTTCCGATCGTAATTCTCGAATAATATATGACATAGCAAAACCCTGGGCATCTTTCCCCACTCCCCCCTACCGCTAGACTGCCAATACCATGAACAATCAAATAGCAATCTTGGATTTTCGATTATCGTTCCACATTTTCCAAAATCTCGAACTAAATCTTGGCATTTTTTTGTATTTAGGTACTTCACGACCATAATGCATGCATTATTAACTTCACTTTTTTTACCAAACACGTAATCATATGATAAAATGAATGTCAACATCGTGTTGTACGCCCAAAATTACCCATAAAACATGTGTAAATAGACTGCGAATAACAGTTCTCATTTCGGGGATATGTGCTTACCTGATTGACCTGACCTTGTCCCTGGCCTATGTTTCATTGACCCCTACATGGATCTGACACTCTTCTAGGCCTTTTATGAAGGACTGTGTACAGTTTTGACAGAGTTTATGACGATAGGCACTCATTACGAGGTGCTGAAGTCCATGCTATTGAAAACCCGATTTCAGGTGTTTGACCTGACTTTGACCCGACCTGTGACCTCGAAATCCAACTACTTTCAAGTACTCACCTGAAGCGTCTCGTCGCGTTCTTTCGTTTGCCGCTTCGTGCATTTCGCTGGGCCTATTGGTTCTTCAGTTATCGGCTGGAGGCGTTTAACGCCACCCTCCCCCCAGCAAACGGCGAGTGGCGGCGAGTGGCGAGTGAAATACCCCAGCGACTGCCGGGTTAAAAAGAACATCATATCCGGGTGTAAGATCACAAGTTCTAGGTAGTTTGACCATGTAGACTTCGGTAGTTGGACAATGTAGAGGTGGCCCATGACCATCTATCAATTAACTCGTGAGTCGGATGCCGGATGCTTGTTGACAGTAGTCCTCTGCTCCCGGCAGTAACGTTGCCAGAGTTCCGGGAGAGTGACCTCCGCATCGAGCCGAGCAGCTCTCGCATCCGCATCGACTGGATTGTGCCGGAGGCGTGGTCGGCCTCCTACCTGGTGACCGTGTACAAGCGCCCGCCGCCTACCCCCGGCGGCGCCGAGACAGGCGCCGCCAGGACCGGCCACGACGTTCGCATCAAACGCGCCGCCACCAGCGACACCTACAAGTCACCACCAGGTATGACTTGCAGAGGGACCATCCACGGCTGCCTCCAGCGCGCTATGGGTCCGACTTACGATTTAGCACGTCAAAGATATCAGCTGATGTCAACTAGCTGCTAAATGCCTCAAACATAATTTTGCTGGGGTTTAGTTCTCCAGCTGTTTTCTTGGGATAAGAACAGCTGGTTGGTGTGGTCTCTGCACCCCCATTGTTAGCGCGTAGACATACTACCTATAGGTATATGTCCTACACTGTTCAGCCCTTTCAGTGCTGAATACCCGGATGGATGTAATGCATGTATGTACAGGTCTCGCGAGATTAAGCGGTAGGTTTTGCACTTTTACATTTCCGGTTATATCTCAGAAACTAATCGATCTACGATGAAGCCATTTTACACGATCATGGCCGGCTTGTTACCCAACAAGTCGATCGCATCTTCAACACTTAACCCACGAGCCGCTGGGGGGGCATAAAGTTGCCCCCCCCCCCTTTACGTTTTGTGAAATATCTCCGAAACCTGATGAGCTACGAACGTGAAACTTGGCATAGCTTCAAATGAATACCTAGGCAATGTTTGAGGAAAGTTTGGTTGTAGCACCTAAGATGACGTCACAGTGACGTCATAAAGTTTTGTCGTTTTCCGATAGGACCGTTTCTGATGACGCTGAGTATGAAACTCAACTGTAAATGAACTAGACAGCACCTGCTGTCATCCTAAAATATCTAACTACACTTCCATCTAGTTTCTGCCAATAATCGACCCTTTATATTCGGTCCCATATATCTGATGTATCGTGAGGAATATAAGAGTCGCAAATCTATAATTTCACTTATGACGTCACTGTGACGTCATTTCAAATGGGATCGACACCAAATTTGGACACAACCTCAACTAGGTATTCAGGAAGATGTGTGCAAAGTTTCGCTTCTCTATCTCTTCGCGTTGCGACGATATCGTCGCAGAAGTAAAGGGGGGCAACTATATGCCCCCCAGCGGCCGGCGGGTGGCGCGGAGGCCCAGCGGCCGCCGGGTTAAAAGCTTAAGACGACGAAGATATAGCCTGAAGTACACTAAATTTTCTAGGTGCAAAACCTACCGCTAAAACCCGCGAGCCCTGTACCTATAACCTAAGTACAAACCTCCGTGTGAAATGCGATCATGTGTAATGCGTATCCCTTGGCACGACAGTGGTGCTGGAAGAGCTGGACGAGAACGCCCTGTACGAGGTGACGATAGTTCGTGACTCGGCTGGAAAACAGACCATGGTGGGACCTATCATCATTCGCGCTTTGGATCCTCCGCGTCAGGTGAGAACGCTGGTGCTCTTCCCTAGCGACACGTGTCACTGATCCTGTGTGTCACTGATCCTCCCTGGCGATGTGTGTCACTGATCCTTTCCGCTAGGCCTGAGACGCGTGGGTCCCATCCAGTGCCTAGCCCACATGAATGCATAAGTAACAATGGAGACATACCTATATGATACATTAATACGATTTATGATTCGTCTGTGCATGCTCCTGCAGCCATCAATGTTCCCGGTGGACGATGGACCGCGCATGTGTTTGGCGCTCAGCTACGTCATAGTGATGGTGACCGGCCTGCTGGTCGCCATTATCCTGCTGCTGGCCAGGTTAGTGCATTACGAGACCACTTCAGCATCACCTGGCACTTACGACAGAACACTGTAAGGTGTCGCAATGGGCTTGGAATACCCAATCCCTCGCGATTAAAGTGACCATCCCACCTTAACATTAGTTTTGAGTTGAGATAGCAAAATTGGGGTCCCTGGCTCGCACTTACTAGTTACTGGTTTGAGCACTCACAATGTCGAGAAAGGCTTCAATGCGGAAATATTTAAGTTCAAAGTTGCAGCACATTGGATTCAGATGGGCCAATGCATTTGAATGTCCCCTCTGAATTTTTGATGTTAGCGCAGATCTAGCGATTTTAAAACCTTATACCTACAAACATCTTTGTGAAGCAGTGATAGTAGGTATATATGCTATTTGCGCGCAACATCTGCCGTAAATGCCGCGCTTTTTAAATACCACATGATTGCCTCGAAATGACGCCGTAGGAACAGCGAGGGCCCCGAAAAAAAATAACAAAAGTAGGGGAGAGCGGGGTACGACGCTCCCCTTAAAGGGACTATCCCACCTTTAACATGGGGTTTGAGTTGAGATAGCCAAGTTTGCGGCGAGGTTCAGAAACCACTATCTAGGTTGCAACCCCCGCGGCCTCTTGGTGTTGAAGAAATTCGTTCCCTTCATTTGAAAATGGGCCTTGTACAAGGCCCTATCTTCAACATGGAGCGACCGTTAGTGTGACGTCACCTCGTTTAGTCATTCTGATTTAAATGGGTTTGTTCGTTGAAAAATCGCTTAAAACTTGGTCTGAACTTTGTTGTGGTGCCTACAGAGTAAAAAGAATCAGCTTTATGACAGTAATGTGGCCTGGGGAAGGAGGTAATTTTGGGCTGTGACGTCACATATTTGAAAGTTTGTGTTTGGAATATGGGAAGCCTAAGATGTTTAATGAAAAATAAATGCCAGAACCGTGTTTCTGGTCATCCAATCTATAAAGTCGGGCACAATTTAACTGGTTTTAACAACATTTTAGAAGGTGGGATAGTTCCTTTAAGGGAAAATGCATACACTCGCCGCATAATCGCATCCACCATGGAAATGTGTGTGCATTAGAATAGACCAACTATTTCTCTTTCTTTGCGAGCTGGAAATTGTGCATTATCACTATGTAGTGAGCGAGACAGATGTTTTAACCCGCGCACCGACGGGGGTCTGCGCCAACTTCGTACCGACGGGGGGGCGGATGACCGCCCCCCTCCCCCTGAGATCTCGAGAACAAAGCAAGATAGCGACAAGCGGTAAACGGCATCGGATATGCACGGACAAGGTCTACAATTTTTACTAAGGTCATTTTCAGGTCAGGTCAAAGATGACGTCACAGGGGTCAAAAAAGTCAAAATGGCGGCGCCAGATATGGGGAGAGTTTTTCTCGAATAACTTTCGAACTAGTCAAGATAGGAACAAACTAAGGGCACCATCGTAATCCTCTCGTCAATCCGCATCGAATGATATATATGTTGACCTCGAAAGATCAAGGTGAAAGGTTGACCTCAGGTCACATGACCTCGAAGTATTCATATATATATATATCATTCCATGCGTCTTGACGAGCTGAACATAATGAGACCATCCTAGCGGCTGTATCTTGTACCTGTACGGAGTTATTGGCAAAAAACCGCTGGTGACCTTTGATGACGTCACATGACCTTACAGCTGCCCAACAGCAAAACAGACCTCAAGGTAGTGAAGGTTGATCGTATATGAAGTCATGTATGGTAAATGGGGCCATTCCGACCCGTTTTAGTGGTAAAAACAGGGAGTTGATTTTTTCCCCATTGACTTAGGTATAATGTGGAGGTCGCGAAATTGACCTGACCTTAGGTCACCGACATCAAAATTCTGAGATATACAAATTGTAGCTAATAATGACCTTATACATCCTGCGACTTTCAAAGGCCTCCGACATCTACTGTAGCTCTGGCACGGTGACAAAGTTGCGAAAAAGTGACTTGAGGTTGGGTCATTCAAAGTGACCTGGTGACCTGACCTAAAACGTTAGGAGGTTCAAACTTGCACACTATGTGTAAAATTGATGAGAGAATAGTCGTACCAAATTTCGCGGCGCTACGCGCCGCGGCAAAAAACCTCAGGAGGGGGACGGATATCCGCCCCCCGTCGGTGCGCGTGTTAAAAAGTCTTGCAAAAGGGCGTCTTACCCCACGGGGTGGGTACTGGGTAACTATATACTAACATTATATACTTACTTACACTTACTTAACCTACCTTATAATTACCTCACCTTATACTTAACTTATAGTCGGAGTCGATTATGGAAATAAAGCCAGAGCCGGAGTCGGAGGCTCAGCTCTAGTCATTTCGAACTTCATATAAGCCCGGCAAACGGAAGCGAGAAGCCAGCTTGAGGCCCTATGGAGCTTGGAGGGCATCGGAATTAGTGCCACATGAGCGGATAAAGCTTGCAAAAAAGAAGATGATATCATGCAACATTTCTACGGTACCTACGTGCAGTCGCCTCCCAGATGGGCGATATGAGACTCGCTGGCCCTGGAAGGAAGATGGGAAGACACAGCTACCAACTAACGAACGTCATGCACTCACTCGGCTGGAAGCTTGCGAAGCCTCGCTCAAAAGAAACAAGCGACTGAAGAAATATGATGACGCTATCCAGGATTACATCGAGCGAGGTCATGCGGAGACAAACGCTCTCTCTCAACGACTTCGTCGATCTGGTCCTCATCGAGGGCGACCGGTCCAGGAACAGGCTGCTGTGGAAAACCGGGATCTTCACGGCGCTTTATCCGGGCCGAGGCGGGTGAGCACGGGCGGCGGCTCTGCGCACAGTAGATTGTGACCTGCAGTGCCCCGTTCAGAGACTTCACCTGTGCAGAAACAAATAGCTGAGAGCGCTGCAGGTCACCCGGGGGAGGGTATTGCGGATTCTAAAATGGAGGACCGATTTCCTTTAGTCACGCTTCAAATCGCGAGCGTTGTATTTTTGGAGCCTGAGTTTTGAGCCTATACCTATATGGCCTTGGACGGAATGTGTGAAACTGAAAAAGAACGAAGAAAAGACTGGGTGGGAAAACGATCCTAGTTGGGTCCTTGATTGGAACCTAGATTGAGGAACCTAGATTGAAGAACCTAGATTGGAACTTACATTGAAACTTTGATTGAAAGTGAGCTTTTCGGTTTTGAAATGATCCTTGAATTGTGTCTGGTTAAGTACACGCATATCTACTTTCTCGTACCGACGCGATGATTTGATCAACGGCGATAAGTGTGCACACAAGTGTGGAATATACCTAGTACATCTCGTAACACGACTCGTATGGGCGTTATGCTCTATGGGTAGGACAAAATGCCCGATTTGTAGTCCTCTCAATTCGGATAGCATATCTAAAAAACTAGGTGCATGCCACATGTTTCTGATGTGTTATTCGAAGAAAGCCAAGGTAATGAGCTACCAAATCAGCTAACTAGTTGTCATTAAAATCAGTAAGCTAAAGAGATATACCTACTGATAACTGAGGCTGGAAAGTAAGGGTGGCCACTTTGCCCCACTCTACCCTAACAGTGAACGGCCTATTCGTCTACCCAGTTGCCATTTTTTTCCAGAGTGCCCGTTCCCGAGGGCATCTACCAGGTGACGGTGGCCATCACGGTGTCGGTCGGGTATCTGTTTGTGCTGCTGTCGCACGGCGGCCCGCTGTCGGCGGGCGGCACGGCCGGCTGCCGCGCGGCCGCCGCCATCACCCACCTGGCCTTCTCGGTGGCACTGGCGGCCGTCCTGCTGCTGGCGCTGGCGCTGCCCGGCCTGCTGGGCGGCGCGGCCGGCCGCTTCCCCGGCAGACACGCCTGGGCGGTGCCGCTGCTGGCCGCCGGGCCGCAGACGGCCGTGGTCATGCTGCTTATCGCCGCCGCCGTCGACTCTCGCGGATACGTGGACGCCGCCCCAGACGTGAGTCGGACGCCATACCACCCCAGCGCGACTGGTTAAACAACCCGCGTCCCAGTGGCGGTCTCAGCCACCTTCGCCATAGTAGGGGGAGGCATATGTTACCACCCACCTCTAACTCAAAAACTAAGTGGGCTAGAAAGACGCGGTAAAAAGCAGTAGATAGCACTCAATGCGTACGTTTGAAAGTATTTCCGTCATCTTTCATTTTAGAGCAATATTGGGGTCACCAGAGGTCATCAAAGGTCAAAATTTGCCAATTGTCATTAGGTACCTCTATTTTTAAGAAAACATGCCCTTATCCCAGGAACTATGATAGCTAGAAAAACGCATGGAAAAGCATTCGATAGCTTTTGAACTCTTCTTTTGATAAGGTCAATATCAAAATTGACCTCAGGTCAACGGTTTAGCCTCCAGAGGGCAAAAAATCAAAAAATAGCTGTTTTTAAGAGAAGTGTTTTTTCGACAATAACTTTTGACAAGCCACGACATTTCTATTGCCAGAATCGTGTTCCTCTTGCCAAGACGCGTCGAATTAACTATAATTTGACCTTGAAAGGTCAACTTGAAAATTTGACCTCAGGTCAAGGTCATTACCTCACCGGAAAAGGTCATGTTGCATATCAGTCGATGCGTGTCAACAAGACAAACACAATGAGGCCATCCCCAGCCTTCTATCTCTTTCAAATCGAGAGTTATTGGCAAAAAGCTGTTTGTAGCCTCAAATGACCTCGGTGACCTTTCTAGAGGCTATCAGCAAAAAAACACACCCTGGTCGTCACGGGTGGTCCAAATCATTGTGATTCTGAAATATTTGGACTGTTCCTATGCGTACACACGGATCTAGAGGCATTTTCATTTTCTCCATTGACTTATAATGGTAAGGTCACGCCACTGTCCTGACCTTAGGTCACGGGTATAAAAATTCGAGAAATGCAAATTATAGGCGCCCATAACATCACGCAATCCACCAAGTTTAAAACCTCTCTGACAAACACTGCAGGCTGGACATGATTGCAAACTTTTTTAGGCTTAGTCAGTTAACTTGACCTGGTGACCTGACCTGACATGACCTGGGGTCAAAAAATTCACACATTGTCCAAAATTGATGTACAGAAAGCTACTGCAAGCGCCGCAGCGCTACGCGCCGCGTTTTTTTTTTCACACGCAAAAAAAAACGCAACAGGTTGGTAACATATGCTCCCCCCCCCCCCCCTGGGGCGAAGGTTAACATCGTCGGCACAGACACATGAAATCAGGGTGCGGTGTGCTCCTCCTATCATATACCAGAGGCTAATTGCGTTGCATTCCGAGGCCAGTTGCGATGATAGATTGCACCTACTAGTTACTACCAACTTCCAATCAATAGGAGTGAGCGTATTCAAGCTGTATCATGACGTATAACTTTAGAGACTGCTGGCAGGCTACCCAATGACAATGTATCGCCAGTTGTAACATTGAAGTAGCTAAGAACGCATTATTACAGGTGCTGGCTGGATTTGGACCCAAACAACGCCATCATGTGGGTGGTTGCGTGTCACCTCCTCATTATCTGGCTTGCTGGACTGTTCCTGGCGTTCCGGGCGCTCACTCTTCCATCGGACAAAGTTCCACTGGCAATGAAACACGCCGACAAAGCGAAACGCAAAAGGTGAGACTAGCCAGAGCAGCAGGCTCACCACAGCCGCTCCGAGTCCCGCTGATCAGTGTCGCAGCACGCAGTGCGCTCATGTGAGTTTGCACATCTAACAGGACGTGTTCCGTTCCAGCGCGCTGGGACGCCTGCGCTTCACCACCACGGCGCTGCTGGTGCTGCTGGCGGCATGCTGGGCGCTGGGTGCCGCGGCGGCCTTCTTCGGCAACCGCACGCTCGTCATCTGCGAGGCGGTGTCGACAGTGCTGCTGGCGGCGGCGCTGGGCGCGATGTGCGCCGACACTTTCATCGCCGGCGCTCGGCCGTGGAGGCAGCGGGTGATGCCGCAAAAGGGAGCAGCGGCGGCGCCCCGGCCCGGCGGCCGCCCGCCAGCCAACCTGACACTGACCACCGTCCATCCGGCCGGGAGCACGAGTAACAACATGTTTGTCAAGAGGACATTCCACTTTGGCGCAGACCCGGCCGAAGCCGACAAAAAGATTATCCTATCCATGCCAACACCTGAATAATCAGTCAGAAATCATATCGTAGGACATTCAGAAACACAACGAATAGACTTCTTAACCAGCGCAGCGTATGGGGCCAAAACAGACCCTCTCCTTTTCCGTCGATATCTCCTCAGTATTACAGTTATCGTCACCAAACTATCAGGACCTCCGCCCCGGCATCAATTTTACAATTTTGTGGCAAAAAATAGGCTACGATAGGTTGGCCGCAGATGACGTCAGAATGACGTCTTGTTCCGCCATTTTCGATAAACAAGTTTTGCGGGAAGAGCCTACCGTTTTGAGAATAGAGAAAATGTCAATGACAAAAAGGTGTAAATATCCTGGAAAATCCAAAATTTTGTTTTTGATAACACCAATTGACCGTCCCCAGCCCCCTCCAAGAAGTCACGGGTTAGATGGCCAAAAGTATATTTTACGTGTCGAAATATCAAATTTAACCCGCCCCGCAGGGCTATCGGTGGACCCTACCACCCGTAGGGGGGGGCGAAACGCCCCCACCTAAGATCTCGGAAAGCTACCGGCCGATTTTCAAAATTCAAATGACGTTGGATAGTCCCAACGGGGAACTACTACCTTGTGACCAAATTTCATTGACCTCGGCCCAACCGATAACGTCACAGGTCAGGTCAAAAGTCGAATTTTCACCTTTTACAGGCATTTCAAGAAATGTGTTGTACCTACAGTCTGTCTTAAAAGTACCGCGCAAAGTGACGGTGGATCCATCAAGCCTGACCGAGGAAGGACCTACTATAATTTGAGTCACCGAAGCAATTGACATCCTCGTGCATTCCCCAGGTCAATTGGTTCGGTCACTTTCAAATTATAGCAGGCCCTTCCTCGGTCAGGCTTGATGGATCCATCGTAACTTTGCGCGGTACTTTTAAGACAAACTGTACAATCGAGTAAAAAGGAATGCCATTGGAAATCATCGATGGGGAATTGTCCGTCAAACACATGTTTTGCTATTCGAGGTCACTAATACCAGGTCAGGTCACAGAGGTCAGGTCACTGAGGGTCACAATACGAAAGGGTCGTGTGATACATGTTTTATGGTCCATTTTACATGACCAATGCGATTATGTGAGTCAGGCAACCTTTAGGGCCAGTTAAGGCTATATTCTGGTGAAGGTCAGGTCAAGATCAGGTCAAATTAGGTCAAATTTCAAAGCTGACATTTTTGCATTAAATGGATATCGATTCAATGCAGCTCGTCACAAGGAGTCCAATGGTGGTGTTTGTTTAGCGCTACATGGTCTAGAATTGCTAACAACTGAGTTTGAAAATTTGACGTCATCAATTTTGAAGTTTTTTTTGCTATAACTTGGCCAAAAAAGAGATATCGATCTCAAGTTTAGTATGTAGATAAGAATACGGTACGAGTTATCATATACATCCGTTTTTTATTTCGAACAACATTTTGGATTTGTTTTGCTGCTATAAAAAAAATCCTTATTCGATTTTAGGGGGTCAAAACCCCAGAATTTCAAAGCCATGAGGTATCAGTTTTGTAGCCCTATTTATTCTACACCTTTCATGTCTTAGACATTTTTCTGTATCTTCAAAGCTGTAGGGCTGACAGCTCTTCCCGCAAAACCTTTTTGGGTCGAATATGGCAGAACATGACGTCATTCTGACGTCATTTACGGCCAACCTATCATAGCCTATGAAATTTTTTTGGTCACAATGTGTAAAATTGATGCCCGGAATGGTCTTAAAAGTTTGGTGACGATATCTGCAGCCGTTTGGGAGATATCTGCGGAAAAGGACAGGATGCCGTTTCGCCCCCCCCCCCATCCCCCTACGGGGCGCGGGATCAAGAGACACGAGAAGATTAGTCCCTGCTCTGTAGCGAGGTCACGCGTTATTGCCGCCACTTGAAGTACTACACCTTTTTGCGTTAGCTTTTGACCATCGGGCAAAACATTTGTACACATTCGCCATATAGGTGGCGTTACAAATGGGCGGTTGGTCACAAAGAATTACCATTGTGCAAAACTATTCGGCGATCTTTCTCTACAACTCGACATTGAACGAATGGTTCAACATTGTGCAAAACAAATCGTCAATGGTCGAAACTATTCGTCATATGCCGAGCTGGCTCCCTCTATGCCGAAGTCTGGCGAACTGTTAAAACTGTTTTGCAGATCGTTTATTTGACATTTCAGTGTTCAATCTGTTTTCCTAAATGGCTGAAATGAAACGCACCACGCCGGAATAGTTGCGCTCAATGCCAATTGTCGAAATGGCTCCTCAAACATTTTTGGCGAATGGTTGAATTCAAATGCAAAAAGGTGTATTTGTATGTGCTTTTGTCACCATGCGTTTTTTTTGTGGTGTTAATAATTGATAAAACCGTTGCTCACGGCTGGATCCACGCAATTTACAGGCGTATCTGCAATTACTCGATGCGTTACTGAAAGGAGAGTGCGCGGTATATTATCCCTCGACGGCCGAGGGGGGGGGGGTGCCGCCCCCCCCCATAGGGTTTTTTCGCGTTTTTTTTCCGAACACGCCGGCGATAGAGAGCTGCAATTTGGCATAATTGAGCTTTGATTCAAGCCGGATCTTTTGACACCAACTGCATTTTCAGGTCAGGTCAGGTCACTGACCTATGACGTCATAAGTGAACCTCTGCACGGTCTGCAGACGTCGCAACTTCGCAACGCCCTCACTGCCAGAGGAGATGTCACAGGGAAATGAAACTTGCAGGACCTAGTATCAATTAAGAGTTTCACAACTTGTATATCTCGGATTTTCTCTTAAGGTCATATGAGGTCAGGCCATTTTCATGACCTCACCATTTCAAGTCAATGGAGAAAAATGAAAACTGCTATTCTGGCGCCGGGAACGATCTCCAACTATCTCAAACACACAGAATCGTGATTTCATGCACTCTTTGCAAGATTTCATGCGGTACTTTTCCAATGTTGAACTTATGTGACGTCATTTATGACGTCATTAAGGTTATATTAGTTTTTCGTCAATAACTCCCGATTAAATTGAGCTAGCGAGTTGGGAAAGCCAGCAATGGACTCAGGAAGACCTGCCGAATCGAATGATATGCGATATGACCTCATTCAACCAGCTTCGTGACCTGGGGCGCTGACCTCAACAAGTTGACGTCACCCAAACAAAAAGTACATCATTCGACGCGCCTGAGCAAGTCGAAAACGATGCTGCCAAAATCGCGGCTCTGCGGCCGTTTTTTTTGCGAAGTTATTCACCAAAAACCGAACCGCACCTTGGGGCACTTGACCTGACCTCAGAGGTTACCAGTTGATCTAGGACCTTGAAATCGGGTATCAATCTCTGCGTCTTGAAACGGCGCACATGCTCGTTTTTTTCCGCGACGAGCTAGCTCCACCAAGGGCGAAACGGCGAGGGGGAGGTCGTACCCTCCCCCCCCCCCCTCGGCGGGCGCGTATGTAGAAAACCAATAGGTCCGGCGAGGGTTATAAATCACGGATAATCAGCAACCACGTATTTTATGTTATAGCCTTTAGGTATGGATTACAAAATGTGGGTACCTATGTTAACCCGCGCCGGGCCGGGGGGGGGGGGGGGGGTGTTTGAACACACACACCCCTCCGGCTTTTCGCAGATATCTCAAAAACGGCGGCACGGAGCGCCGCCGTTTTTTGGCACACCTGTTCGTGCATCTTTTCCACACATGTTGTGAAAATGTCAGACCCAGGTCGCCTTAGGTCAGGTCACCAGGTCACGCCAAGTGACCTCACCTTCGAAAAAAATTAAGAATGCTCGTGATAGCTACACCGACTCATCGATTGCCCTGAAACTTTCAGCGATTGATTAGAGCAACATTATCTATAAAATGTATATCTCGGAATTTTGACATCGGTGATCTATGGTCAGGTCAATTTTGCGGCCTCTCCATTATAAGTCAATGGGAGAAAATTGAAAAGCGTCTGTTTTGCACGAACGCTATTCTAGACACTCTCAAACATCGAGATGTAGGTAAAATTGACACACTGAACCGGAAAATGGCAGCTGTGACCCCTCGTTATGTCCCCGAGGTCATCTCAGGTCACGAACAAAATCGCTCGAAGTTTTTCGCTAATAACTTCTGATAGAGGCGTGCTAGAGCGCTGAAAACGCCTTAGATGTGTTAGGCTCGACGTTGCAGCTCGACTGATATGCAACATGATCTTTTCCGGTCAGGTCATGACCTTGATCGGAGGTCAAATTTTCAAGTTGACCTTTCAAGGTCAAATAGTTCATTCGACGCGTCTCGACGAGAGGAACACTATGCTGGCAAAAGTAATGTCGTGGGTCTTTTGAGTCAAAAGTTATTGCCGAGAAAATTTTTTCGTAAAAACGGCTATTTTTAGTTTTTGTCCTCTGGAGGCTAAACCGTTGCCCTAAGATCAAATCTGAGAACATTTATCAGAAAGGTCTGTAAAAGGGCTATCGAATGCGCTTTTCCGCGGCGCTGTAGCTCTATCGGTTCCCGAGATAGAAGTTGGCAGTTTCCAAAATGTTGAAATAGTCAACATTTTACCTTTGGTGACCTATGGTTAGCTGACCTTTGACCTGACCCAAAAATGACCGAAGTGTTTTTGTCCTTCTTTTGGACGTTCTTTCGATAGCCCCGTCCCGGCGCGGGTTAAGAACTGGAGAAACTGGATGGAATCCTCTGATTAGATAGTTCAGACTTTTGAGGAAATATGCAGAAATGGAAATTACTGGGTATACAGACCATTTTTTAAGGAAAACGGCGAATGAAATTAGCGTGTGATCACTCTGCCAGGGTTCTTCTATGGCAGAGCTTTTAATCCATTTGATAGATGTAAACAGTTAATGTCGATATATTTTTGACCAGCATGAATGCTTTTCTAATTACTTTTCTAACAGCTTTTCTAATTGGTCAAATTTCCAACAACCAAATAACAAGTGCCTTAGTCCCCAAGTGCCTTCACTGTTCCATAGTCGTAGACTACGGCTCTGCACGTCATCCTGGCTCTTGTATGTGGAAGCATTACGGACACTAAGTAGATCATGTCGTTCGTAAGCGTTATCATCGCTGTTCGTGCACTGTGATGTGTAAAAGTGCTTGATTTGCTGTCAATAAATCGTGCGCATCGTATTCTTTCAACTGTGTATTTTTTCAACACCTCTAATGCACAAAAGACGACGTTCGAGAACGACAGTTTTGAAAATCAGTATAAACGGAGAGTTACTAATTGTATTTAGAATTATATTGGCTTAGTGGAATTCTTAACAGAAAAAGTCACCCAGTTTAGTCTCATCTTTCAAAATAATGAATAAAAACATTACGAGGGTTGTTTTGAGCATTACATAGTTGCAGGCAACGGAGACTAATGAAAAGTTGGTCGCTTATTTTCCCACGACCCTTGATTCGAGCCGGATCTTTTGCCATCAACCCCTCTTTTAGGTCGGGTCAGGTCACTGACTTAACTAATGATGGCATAGGTAAACCTTCACACAGTCCTAAAAAGTCGCAACATCCCCAAGGGTCAGTCAGGTCGGTTACGTTAACTGTTTCAAAGCATTTAGGTACTTTAAAGAAATTGGCATTCATCAGCCGATTCAGAGGTTAGCGAATAAAAGCATTGTGACTTTTGGGCACATTTTTCATCGCCTCGCTGCATTTAACCTTCGCCCCAGTGGGGGGGGAGGGGGGCAAATGTTACCACCCTGTCGCGTTTTTCGCGTGTGAATAAAAAGCCGCGCCGCTTGGGGTAGCTTTTGGTACATCAATTTTGGACAATGTGTGAAATTTTTGACCCCAGGTCATGTTAGGTCAGGTCACCAGGTCAAGTTAACTGACCAAGCCTTAAAAAAAGTTTGCAATCATGTCCAACCTGCAGTGTTTGTCAGAAAGGTTTTAAACTTGGTGGATTGCATGCTGTTATGGGAGCCTACAATTTGTATATCTCGGATTTTTTATATCCGTGACCTAAGGTCAGGTCAGTGGCATGACCTTTCCATTACAAGTCAATGGAGAAAAATGAAAATGCCTCTAGATCCGTGTGTACGCATAGGAACAGTCCAAATATTTCAGAATGACAATGATTTAGTCCACTCGTGATGACCAAGGTGTCATTTTTGCTGATAGCCTCTAGAAAGGTCATCCGAGGTCATTTGAGGCTACAAACAGTTTTTTGCCAATAACTCGCGATTGGAAAGAGATAGAACGCTGGGGATGGTCTCATTGTGTTTGTCTTGTTGAGACGCATCGACTGATATGCAACATGACCTTTTCCGGTCAGGTCATGACCTTGACCTGAGGTCAAATTTTTAAGTTGACCTTTCAAGGTCAAATTATAGTTCATTCGACGCGTCTCGGTGAGGGGAACACAATTCTGGCAATACAAATGTCGTGGCTTTTTGTAGTCGAAAGTTATTGCCGAAAAACACTTTTCGTAAAAACAGCTATTTTTGGAGTTTTTGCCCTCTGGAGGCTAAACCGTTGACCTGAGGACAATATTGATAATGACCTTTTCAAAAGAAGAGTTTAAAAGCTATCGATTGCTTTTCCATGCGTTTTTCTAGCTACCATAGTTCCTGAGATAGCGGCATGTTTTCTGAAAAATATAATGACAATTGGCAAATTTGGACCTTTGATGACCTCTGGTGACCCCAATATTGCTCTAAGGTGAAAAATGACCGAAATACTTTCAAACGTACGTATTGAGAGCTATCGATTGCTTTTTGCCGCGTCTTTCTAGCCCTCTTAGTTTTTGAGTTAGAGGTGGGTGGTAACATATACCCCCCCCCCCTCACTAGGGCGAAGTTGGCCGAGACCGCCACTGGGGCGCGGGTTAATAGACAAAAATAATGCCAAAGTGGCCAATTATGGACAACAGAAATAATGTCCATACTCTGTCGGTTATCGGTGTCCAAGCTGTTGACTTCCGCCATGGCGATGGGTGATTATCACACCGACATGCTGATGGTACATAATGTGCGATATCACACTTCGCTTACTCTGGTAGACCTTAGCCCCCGTCCCCCTCCAAAGAGGCTCCCGTCACCAGGCAAAACAAGAAAGATACATTGTTTCTCGTATATTCACAAACATGCTGGGTGCAGTTTCATTTGACACTAGTGAAGCTTCTTATTCTTCCTCTTCCTTAGCCACATACTTGTGTTCAATGTGCTTCCACAGTTTCTGAAAGAAAAAAAAAAACAGTGTCAATGGTAGTAAGCGATAGATCTAACACATCACAGGTATCTGAGCCGTAAACAAGTTGACGGTTTTAGCGCTGATGCCGCTAAATTACACTGCCAACCCAAGCTAGAATTCAGGGCAAATCAGTGTCTCAAAATTGTATTTTTGTTTGGGTGTCAGAGCGCATATTAGGGGAAGCCGGGGGAAGCCCGGCATAGTAAGCTCTTTTTCATTTTTATTACATACCATACGTGCTGCATAAAATGTTGATATCCTATTAGCTAGCTAAGTTCATTGGCCGTGTTTTCCCAAAAATTCGGTTTCGTGGAATAAGTATAAGGTTGAGAAAATCGAGTTTTAAAAAAGTGTTGATTTTTCTGGGGTAAGCCCGGCATAGGGGTAACGCCGGCCACCTCCCCAGCGCTTTACAACGAGTTGATGAAACCATTATGTGTCTTCCAAATATTAACGGAAAGTGAAATATTAAGGTACTGATTAGCTCTGGACATCTTAGAGTTTATGTCACTACTGGTATTTTAGCTAGCGTCTTCCACATCCTACAGTACAGGTCGATGAAAATCGTGATGCAAAATTGACAAAAAATGTGTTTTTCAAAATTCCTTAAAATTTATTTTTCTTTTTACCTTAATGCATCATATTGCATATCATTCGACTCGGCTGATGAAGAAGAACACAACGACACCATTTTTGAAGCTCTAGCTTCATTGTCTGTCGCGTTATCTGCAAAAACGTAGTTTGACCCTAGTTGACCTTAAGTGACATGACTGGCTTTGTCTATGATAACTTGTTTATTTTCGAAATTTATCTTTGATCTAGGTGTAAACCAAACCTGCTCAGTACCTATTATCTCATGGAAAACAGTGGTTTAGTGGCATTGCTCTCGGTTGGGGGTAAGCTTGGCCACTCGCCCGGGGTTACCCCAATGTGCTAATTTTTATTTTAGAACAGCGATATTCGAAAAAATGTCATACTTAAGCCAGCCTGCCTCGTCACCCCTCACTACAAACACTTAAACGGTCCTTACATAACATTCGTATAAATATTAGTACTGTATGGTATAACATTAACAGTGCAACATATCTCACTTTTTAGCTAAAAACCCTTAAAATATCATTTTTGCGCTATAACTTTAACAATATGCAATTTTGGTTAGCCTTAACTTGTTTGCTGGCGTTACCTTAGCTGCCACGCTGAAAGGACAAACAGTTGAGCATTTTATTGTGAATAATTTAGCCGGAAACGGGGTGGCCGGGCTTCCCCCGCGCCCGGGCTTCCCCCGGCTTCCCCTACTCTCCAAAAGGGGGAAAGAGTGAAAAATGGCCAGTCAGATAAGGCCCAAAAGAGTAAAAAGGGATCAATGGCATTTATTTATATAAAAATGTGGTAAAATGTAGGATGTAAAACGATCATCCATGCAAATGCCTTTTCTTGGTAAAATTGAGAGGGTGAATTTCTCTTATAATTTAGAGATGAGAGTAAGAAATAATTTTCATATGGATGTCATTTCCCACCCAAATCAACACGTTTTGGGACACTTGGGCAAATGGATTAAATCCGACAATTATCGATTCATATCCTTAACTTGATCGACCGAAGTTTGAAAACAGTAAAGGTAGTGTGCCAGCTTCCCTGGACCGTATGGAGTTAATGGCCCAGATAAGGAGAACCGGATTTTTAGAACTTATCCATACCTTCGAAACTCATGGAAACGTCTTAACCCTCGCCCTGGCAGGGGGGGTCGATGCGACCCCCCTAAGGTTTTTCGAAGCTAGCTTAAAAACGGCGGCGCGCAGCGCCGCCAAATTTGGCACAGCCTATGGGGCAACCTTTTTACATATGACCTGAAAATTTCAGGTCCGGATGACCTTGGGTCAGGTCACCAGGTCAGAAAAACCGGTACAGGGTCATGGTCAAATTTCAATTTTCTTTTTGCACCTGTCTAACTCACAGTTTTGGACTGATTTACTTCAAACTTTCAGGATGTGCTAAGTTCACCGAGTTGTATAACATATAGTTCGGGTTTTTTGAGGTCACTGACCTAAGGTCAGTTAGAGGTCATTACGTCGTAATGTTAAGCCTATGGGAAAATACTAAATTCGGAAAATACTGGAGATATCCGCTTCGTTCTATCACTTTTGTGCTTTGAAACCACAGTACGTAACAGCAGGTCACTTGGTGCTTCTTTGTTTGGTGTTCTTATCCATGGGTCAGGTCAAATGAGGTCAACTGAGGTCAAATGACGTTTTTGCCAATAACTTGGCACATAATGACGCTAGAGCTTAAAAATGGTATCATTGTGTTCCTGGTGATCAGGCGAATCGAATGATATACGATATGATGCAATTTGGTTAACTTGAGCTTAATTTATAAATTTAAGTTTACTTAATATTTAAGAAAAACTTTAAGTACACTTAAGCAAGCTAAAAAGTATATCATTCGACGCGCCTTGATGTGCTGAGTTCACTGGTGCTTTTCTTTTTGTTCTATCTTAATTAGATGAAAAGTTATAAGCGAAAATTTTTTGACCTGTTTTTTGCGAAATTTTTACATTTATACCCCCAAAACCCCCCTAAATACTGACCTAGAGCAACCAAATTTGAACAGGGGCGAGAAATCCAGGGGGCCCACCTACCTACCAAATTTGGTGTTTCTAGGTGCCATAGGAGCCAATCGCGAGGGGGGGTCGCATCGACCCCCCCCCCCCTGCCAGGCCGTGTTATGAAAAATGCCCTGCCAGGGCGAGGGTTAAATTCTTCGAATTTTGAGTACCCCAGTGCGAAATTCGCCCCGACGGGTTGTCGGTCGTACCCCAACCACATTTCACACCACTATGAACAATAAATGCACACACTGAAATCGCTATTACCGATAGGCTCATCCAATCAAGTTTCGATAAACCCGTTCATCATCATCTCCTGCGGTTTCGAACACGCCTGTTAGGTGGTGCGGTAGACCGCGCCCAAAGCCAGGGCCCCGGTAACGTGAGGTAGCCGAGTCGGGGCAGCGTGCGCTAACCCAAGCCGGGGCCGCGCGTCCTCCCGGTGTCATGTGATAGCCCGGGGCTGCCCGCGGGGATGCGGTAGACCGCGCCCAAAGCCGCGGCCCTGGCTTGGGTCAGCGCACGCTGCCCCGACTCGGCTACCTCACGTTACCGGGGCCCTGGCTTTGGGCACGGTCTACCGCAGGTGGCTTCTGCTCATACTTTGTGGTGCGGTGGTGGTGCGTCGGGCCGCGCGCTCTGACTTCGGCCAAGAAAAATGCGTCAGCTGATCATTGTCATTTCTGCCACTTCATGTGGTGGGATGGGGTCATAACTTTAGAGACGGCTGTTTCATATCAATTATTTTACATAAAATAATATTTCAAACCATAAATTAATGTTCGACAGCCAAATTAAAGAAACAATACCAATACAGGCTTACAGTTTAAATTCGACATTGTGTTGTCTACGATTAGACAGCTGATACCTCATTCCCGTACGTCGTAACTCTATAATGACCTTTGCTTATTGTCACATGTGCGCCGCATTCGCGATTGTTGCCGACGCCTGTTTGCAAGTCAGCCCACTACAGTTGTTATACATATCGAAAAACCGATAAACTTTTAGGCGAAAAAAAAAAACACTATTTTAGGCCCGTTTTCGATTTTTTTGCGATATTAGGTAAAAACAGAAGCTTCTTATCCTAGGAAAAATAAAATGGGAAATCATTGGAAGGTGGCACACTACCTTTAACTCTCGCGGGCCCGGGGACAATTTGCCTCTCCCCGCTGATGAATATTTGCGATAGCTCCAGAGCGCTTAGGGATAGGAGCACAAAAATTTTAGTACATTTTCCCTATCAATTTGATACACTCTGGATAAAACATGGACCTTGCCCCACGACGACGTCACCGAGTCAATTTTTCTAGACCATTGAGCGGCAGATTTCGACGCCACAGACGAGGAATTCAAATAGCGGTCAAAAATGGTTTGATGAAAAAAAAAGTTACGAGCAGGTTTGTGTAGCATGATCTGAGGAAATATTGCAACAAATTTTCTTGACCCAAGGTCAGAGGTCAGTTAAACGACCAATCGCTGAGATTTTAGTCTTCGCAACTAGCTCCAACAGAAATGGTCCCAGAGGTAAGGCAGCGGTACCAATGCATGTCTTATTTAGAAGCGTCGAATGACAAATATTTAACATTTTGTTTGGAGAGGCCAAAATGTATGTTGACCTCATGTCACCTCAAGTGACTTGGTTGAATTGACACATGCAAGGTTTTATCTGTTGCCGCTGATCAAAATCTGGCATCTTTTTTTGCTTTAAGCATTCATTTAGAGCCACAGGATAGCGAAAATGACTGAATCATTATCACTGACTAGAAATTAGTGAAATGGCTGCTAGCAAGGTTACTGTTGCGTGACCATGACGCGCCACTCAGGAGGGGTAGGGCAAAGCTTAGCGCTGACGTCATTACGTGGCTCCGCCCCATGAGCGCGTAGCCTCTACCCAAACAGCAGATTCGTTCCGTGAAATTTAACATTACGAGTGAGAGAGAGAGAGAGAGAGAGAGAGAGAGAGAGAGAGAGAGAGAGAGAGAGAGAGAGAGAGAGAGAGAGAGAGAGAGAGAGAGAGAGAGAGAGAGAGAGAGAGAGAGATCCCTTTATTGGCAGACGCTGGGCCCATAAGAAGTAACACTCAATGATGAAGACGTGACAATCATATGATGATGACGGTATGAAGATAACATGTGTAAATGACCAACATCAGCAGCGCTCAACAACCACACAATGCTGCAGTCAACAATTTACGCATAGGAGATGTGTGGGCGATATCACTGTAATACAGTGTAGATATTATTCGGTTTTCTGACTTTTTCAAACGCGACATGAAATTCTACACAGCTCTACGGTAGGCCGCATCAAAGCCATCTACACCTTTTTACGCCCAATTTAGGCGGAAGTGCACACATTTCATTAATAGTGCAGGTGATTTCGA